ACCAGGAGCCAGAGCCCAGAGAGGTGGAGTAACTGCCCAAAGTCACACAGCTAGGAAGGTGCAGAGCTGGGACCCCAGCCCAGAGAGGTCTGAATCCAGAGGCTAATTCTTTTTCTTTTAATTGAAGTATAGTTGATTTACAATATTATATTAGTTTTAGGTTACAACATGGTGATTCGGTATTTTTCCAAATTATACTCCATTTAAAGTTATTATAAAATAAAAGGTTAATTCTTAACCCCTGCACCGAATCCTTAGGAAGGAGGAAAGTCATAAATCACTGTGCAGAGCCAGCACAGAGTGCACCCCAGAAACAGTGGGACTTTTCACAACATTCCTCTTTCCCGCATGCTAAGAGTCCAATATTTGGGGATCCTATCAATCTAAGAGCGTTAGGTTCTCTACCGTCTGCTTTCACAGGGCTCAGGAAAGACTGCCATCCCCCCAACACAACTCCCTCCAGCAAAAGCAGGTGCTTCACCAATGCCTGAAATGTCACTATTCCTATGGATGTTCCGTGTATACAGCCCACTATCCGTGTATATATCCATGTGTATAGCCACATATATTGCTTCTTACAAACTCAAGGGTCCTATAAGGAGCCCTCATTGTTTCTGGGGAAGGACACAGGGAGATGGGAATAAGGAGACGTTCACTGTATATCCTTTTTGTACCTTTTTAATTTTGAACTATGTGAATGTATCACTAAAACATTAAGGTTAAAAATGAAAACACTTGGGCTTCCCTGGTGGCGCAGTGGTTGAGGTCCGCCTGCCGATGCAGGGGACACGGGTTCGTGCCCCGGTCCGGGAAGACCCCACATGCCATGGAGCGGCTGGGCCCGTGAGCCATGGCCGCTGAGCCTGCGTGTCTGGAGCCTGTGCTCCGCAACGGAAGAGGCCACAGCAGTGAGAGGCCCACGTACCGCAAAAAAAAAAAAAAAGAAAACATTTAACAACATTTTATTTTTATTTTTTTAAACATTCATTTATTTATTAAACATTCGGCTGCACCGGGTCGGGTCTTAGCTGTGGCACATGGGATCTTTAGTTGCGGCATGTGGACTCTTAGTTGCAGCATGCCTGTGGGGTCTAGTTCCCTGACCAGGGATCGAACCTGGGCCCCCTGCATTGGGAGTGTGGAGTCAGCCACTGGACCACCAGGGAAGTCCCAACAAATGCATTTTAAAAGCCGCTAATGAGCAGGTGGGTGTATGTGCACCCAGAGGATGGGAATCCCTGGAAGGATGAAGGGTTTTGTAATGACCCCATGGGTCCAGGAGAGGAGTGGACCCAGAGGTGGGTGTGACCTGTCGAAGTATCAGTCCGCTGCAAGCATTTCACTAGAGCAGGGGCCCAGGGAGGCTGCCCTGAGTCCCTAGAGGTGCTCAGCCACGGGGGGTGTGACGGCTCCCAGCAACTCCGCCAAAAAGGGCCCTGAGCTGTCACCCAGCGGGCCCTGATTCCCCCAGACCTGGAGCTCTGTGGCTCAGCCCTCGTCAGCAGCCCCCTCCGATCATCTGATCGCAGTGCCTGGCAGAGGCCCACTGCCCAGTGTTCTGCACCGACTGGCTGGGGAAGGACAGTCCCATCTCCTCCCCCTGGGCCGAGGATGGACAGTGGGCAGACACTGACCTTGGTGGGCGGGGCCTCTGACCTGCTGGAATTGCCTAAGTGACTCAGGGGTAGCAAAGGAAGGGAGGGGACGGAGAGTGGCCCCGGGGACCCCGCAGCTCCTCTCCCCGCCAGGGCAATGCTGAGGGGCCCCGCCAGGACCACATCCTAGCCGCTGAGGGTGCTGCCCCTGTGTCTAGGGGCCCCATGTGGTCCAGGGCCTGGAAGGAAGGGGCCGGGGTCAGCAGGCAAGGAAGGAAGAGGGAGAGGCAGTGTAGGCACGGAGGTGACACGATGACTGCCCCTCGCAGCAAGCCCTTGGTGCTGGGTCTCTTTGGCCGGTGTCATCTACCCCTGAGTTCCCTCACCTACTGGGCGCTCCCTCCCACATCGCAGATAAGGAGACCGAGCCTCAGAGGGGAAAGGGCCCAGGTCACCAGCTGTGGGAGGGCAGCGCTGAGACCTGAACACGCTCAAGCATGGGCGAAGGGCCACAGAGGGCACAAGTCCAGGTGGAGCTAGGGGGGACACCCAGGTCCCTCCTGTCACCCCAGGCTGTCCTTGGGTAATCAGGCTGGGTTCATCCTGTCCTCGGACCCGAGCACCCTGCCTTGGGCAGGCGGCCCCCACACCCTTTCACTGCCCTCCAGCCTCATCAAGGACCCACAGGCTCAGGGCCAGAGAACAGACGTGACCCTCAGTCCATGAAGGAGCCCCAGGAAACATGGGCACTGGGGGAAGCCAAGCTGAGCCGAAGCGGGAGGAGTAGGGGGCCATGCGGGGGGAGGGAGTGGCCAGGCAGAGGTGCGACCAGGGGTCAGAGGTAGGGCCCAGGACCCGAGATCTAGGGGCAAACAGGATGTCCTGCTGCACAGGGGAACACAGACACCAGGCATGGCCCGGGCACTGACAGGGGCTGGCACATTCCAGGAACGCACACACATGTGAACACACACACACACACGTGCACACAAGCACACACGTTTCCTTATCAGCCAGACAACATGGTTCACAAGTCCGGAAGCAGCTCTGAGAGCCAGCCCCCTCCCCCCATGCTTGGCCTGGACAACAGGATGGCCACGGAAGCACTCTGGCCCTTCGCAAGGCCTCATGGGACCTGGTGGGCAGGGGGGTCCTGAGCACAGCCCCCAAGCCCGGGGCAGAACAGCCAATGGCCAGAGCCCTGGACCTGAGCCAGCCCCGGGTCCCCTGGCCTCAGCCCTCCCTCCAGTCTGCAGCCTCCCTGGCTGCACCCCCGTAGAAGCTGCCGTCTGGCTTCCTGCTCACCCCAGCTTGGCCTTGGGAAGCTGACCCCAGCCCTCAGACTCTGCTGGGCTCACAGGCACATCCACAGGGCACACATACCCACCGGGCACGGAGGCTCCTTCCGGGAAAGCCCTGACTTCCTGCCTCTGGGCCTGGGTCTCAGCCTAAATCCTTCCCACTGCAACATGAGGAGTCTGCTCAGACCCACACCCCTCCCCAGCCTCCCGCTGGGGGCCTTGCCCACTCACTGACGCCATCCACCTCAGGATTCGCTGACAGAGTCCCCCACCCCTGCACCCAGCCTCTCTTCGGCTTTTTCTTGCAGATGGTGGCCTGGCCAGACACCTGCGAACGTGGGGTCACGGTGGGGCCAGAGCCTGGCTTTACGGCAGGCTCTTAACTTCACTCTCCCCGGCCTGGGAGGCACAGACAGAACCCCTATTTCACAGCTGGAAAAACTGAGGCACAGAGAGGTGAAGAAACTTGCCTACAGTCTCCTGGCTGGAAAGGGGTAGAGCTGAATCCCCTCCCACCTCTGCAGCCTGGCTTAGAAACCCAGCCCCAGGACCCTCAGCCTGCAGCCAAGGGGCTCAGGCAAGGTCAGGCCTGTCAGGGTCAGGGCGAGGAACAGGGCCTGCAGGAGGGGGCCTCCCTGAGGGGCCTGGGGACTGGGACTCAAATGTGGGAGGGGGTGGCAGGGGCTCCCGGGGGAGAACCTGGCCAGGACCAAACCAGATCAAGGCTTCCTATACCCTCACCACCCCCCCGGCCTGAGACTCTCACCCAGACCACTGCCGGCCCCTGGGCTTACATGTGGGGTCAGGCTGACCTGTCAATCACCTGCCCCTCCCTAGGAAGAGAGGTGCCCCTCCGATACCTCCCCTCTCCCTGGCTGTGAGGATCCCAGGCCACCAGTGCTGGGGCCTGTTGTGAAGCAGTGCCAACCTCCACCCTCCGCTGGCCTCAGTTTCCCCACTGACACAAGGACCGCTTGTCAGCGTCAGCACTCACACACCCCGCCGCCGCACCTGTTCCCGGAGCCTGGGAGCCCCATCCTCTCTGCTTCCTCCTTCCTGCCTTGCTCACCCCACCCCCGCTGGATTCCCCACTTGGGAAGATCTGGACACTCCCTCGGCCCCCGGCCTGCCGCACCCCTGGCCAGGTGCCCCCATGGAACAGGCTGCCGCTGGGACCTGTTCCTGCTCCCCCCGGGACCCCGAAAGGGGGCTGGGGGGAAAGGCACCTATCGCTGCCTCCAGCCGCATCCTGTCAGTCTCCCCATCTCAGAGCTCAGCCTTCCTGGCAAGCCCGAGGTTATGGACGCAAATGGGTTCCAGAGCAGCGTCAACTGCAGGCTGGAGCCCAATTTCAGTGCCAACTATTGTGAGAGGAGAACGAGGAGGGGCGTGCGCGAGGGCGCAGCGCGGTGATCTCCTTGCAGCGCCACGTCCAGAGCCGAGACCTGCAGGGGCACCCCCCATACACACACTCCAGGTTGACACTTGCCCTGCCGCAGCACACAGCTCTCACTGCTGGGAAGTTCCTCTCACAACTAACCCAAATACCTCAAGCTGCAGAACAAGGCTTGGCCTTTTCTTGTCTCCCAGGGCCCAGGCCTGCTTAGAGCGGGACAGAGCAGCGCTCACCCCGCTGGGCAAAGCTCACTAGGCACGCGGCACTGGGGGCCCGGGGTCAAAGCCTGTCTTGCTCTGCAGCCACAGGGGTGGGCCTTCCCAGTTCTAGACCTGCCTCAGTCTCCCCATTGGTGCAGTGAGCAGGAAGCAGTCATCACCAAATGGAGTCACCGCGGAACTTCTGGCTGGACCCTGGGTGCATAGGAACCCAGACCTCCTGCCTGAAGCCAACTTGGCCTGCCCCTCCTTAGGGAGACACCATTTTCATTCATGTTTATTTTAAAAATAAATACTCTGTTCTTCACTTTCAGACTGGGGTGGCGCTGGACAGTTAGGCAGGGAGGCCTTCCTGGGTGGGCAGTACCGATGGGAACTTCTGACATGCCCGAACCCTCCCCCGCAAATGCCTGAGATGCCTCTCATGGCTGTTCATTCTGGTCACCAGCCATGCGTGGCTGAGGACGGGAATTCCACGACCATGGGCTCCTGACTTGGGGCTCAGTGCCTGGGGAAGATGGCCAACCCTCCACCTGGGGTCGGCCCCTCTCAGGCCCAGGAGCACTAGATGCAGGTGACTAGCACATCCATGGAGGTGGGCACCTCGATCTCCTCGAAGAGCACGTGGCCCTCAGCAGCGCCGGGGCCCCCTGCCTTGGCCACGGCCCTCAGCAGGTCCTGGGCATGCGTCAGGAGGTGCTGGTTCCGACGGTGGCCCAGTCGGCGCAGCGCTAGAATGGCCAGCACGTGGTCCCGCCTGCAGAGACACGCGGACCCTCACTGCAGACCCAGCAGCTTCAATGACACCCCAGACCCCGAGGTGAGGAGAACCCTGGGGGCTTGGGCTGGAAGTACGAGTGCACCCAGCATTCCTGGAGCCTGGTCTCAGAGAGACTGAGAATGAGCCTGGAGGAGCTGTGCTCCTGGAAGAGGTGGCTGGGCCTTGAAGGGTGCGAAGCCACGTGGAGCCAGGAGGGCAGGCCTCTGTGGCCTACGCAGAGGTTCAAGAAACCTAGTGGATTGAAGGATGCAGCAATGCGGCCACACGGGGGCAGGGCCGGGGGAGCCGCTGGCCTCAGAAAGGAGTCAGGGCCTCCCGCTTCCAGCCCTGTGCAGGGAGCCACAGCCAGGCAGCACGCAGAGGCAGCATGGGGGTGGGAGGCCTGCGCCCAGTGGCATCAGGAGCTCCCCCTCCCCTCCGAGCACCCCAAGAAGCTCGAAGCACCGCCCCACAAGCTAGGGAGGGCAGGCCAGCCCAGGGCAGGAAAACAGGGACGGGCCAGAAGGGGAACCTCGGGCGCTTGGAGGGGAGGGGTGGTCACTGCGGGCTGGGGGCCTGGAATTTTCCCCGGGGGGTCGGGGTGCAGGGCAAGGCGGTGGGTCCAGGAAGGAGCTAGGACGGGGGTTTTCTGCAGTCTCCCCACCCTGGAATCTCCAAGGCCGTGGAGAAATTCGGGCTGGGATTTCCATGGGTACCATGACTCACCCCCCCCCCCACACACACACACCCGGGATCAAAGCCTCCTTCCTCCTGGCCAGGTCTGGGGCTTCCGGAAAGAGCCTTCTCCCAGGGGTGGGGGCCGCGGCCTCCCCTCAGCCTCCCGGGGGAGGGACGTGTCCCCACCATCAGACACGGGAGGAGGGTCTCCCACTCCCTTCAGACTCCAGGGGTGGGGACGTCTCTCCCCATCTCACCACAGGACTGAATGTGGATGGTGAGAATAGACCACGAGGCAAGGGCAGCCCCGATCCCACGAGGCTCCGCCACAGCCTTAAGGCCGGGGCCCTTAGCTGCTGCACCTGCACCTGCGCACTCAGGCCGGCGCTAGTCCGAGCCCCGCCCGGGAGGCGCCCCTTCCCCTCCCCCTCCCCTCTCCCCTCCCCCGAACCAGCTCGCGCCGCCCTCAGGCTCGTCGCCCGCCCACCTGCAGCCGCAGGGACACTTCTGCAGGCACGAGTCCCCTGACCCCAGGGCCCCGCGGGGCCCGTCAGAATCTAGTGGGGAACGGACCTGATGTCGGGGTAGCTCCGGATGAGTGTCTCCAGGTGCCGCCGGATGTCGTCTTTGTAAGTCTCGCCCAGTATGTCCGCCACGCACGGGATAGCTCGGCCCAACCAAGTGGCCTCAGAGCCCTACGGACACAGGGAGACGCGTGCGCAGCGGGCCACTGTCCCCCCCCCCGGAACCCCCTTGCCGCCCCTGCCTGCAGCCCATCCATTAGAGCCCCGTAGAGCCCTCCTGAAGCCACCACCGCGGTCCCACTGGGTTGCCTCCTGCATCGCGGAAGGGGACGCGGGCCTCGGCACCGTGGACTCAGTCGCAGCTCAATAGTCATCTTCCCTCCCCCACGATAGAGCACGGAGGTGTCTTCCAGAATCTGCTCAGATGGGTAAACCGAGGCCCCGCGGGCAAGTCCTGCCTGGAGTCGTACAGCGGGTGGGGGACCAGCAACCCAGATAAGAGGTGTATGTGTAGGGAGCAGACCCTCGAACTGCTCAGGGTCAGGGGCTCAGGAGAGGTCTTCCATAGTTCCCTCCCATCAGACGGGGCTGCGACCCTCATCCCTTCCCCACACACCCCACAAACTACATGCAAATGAATGCAAACGTATGCAAAGTGTTGTCCCCACCGGCCCCGCTCCGCTGGGGGAGAGTGCGCAGAATCACTTCCGACAAAGCCTGCCCCACAGGGGCTCTTACAGGGGCGAGCGGAAATGAGAATGGGGGATGCTAGTGGAGGGTCCCCACGCTGGAGGCCCCCCGAGGAGGCCAGCACGCCGGGCAGCCAGACAGTGCTCCTACCAGGTCCTGGAAGGTGTTGCCAATGGCCTGGGCGTCCAGGCTCATCTTCTGGGAGCCACTCACGCGCTCCACACCCCGGAACCGCTCGCGGGGCCTCAGCGCCTGCACCAGGTACTCGCGGACGACGTAACGGTGTACCTCCTGCAGAGTCTCCTGGGCGGCCAAAGCGGGGGTCTGGGTCAGGGTCAACAGTAGGGGCCCTGGGCATGCCCCCACCACAGCTCGCTCCTCCCATACCTGCGCCCGGGGCGGGACCACATGCTCAAGGTGGCCGGCGAATGCCACCACCTTGTCCAGGAGGGGCTGCAGCACGTCCTGTGTCAGCCAGGCCTTGGTGCACAGGACCTTGAAGAGCGGCTGAGGGCAGAGGGGGTCAGGAGTCTTCTAGCCAGGTGTCCTCCCCACGCACTAGACCCTCCCCTAGGAGCCCCGTGCATGGCTCCTGACAGGGGTGTTTCAGGCCAAGGGACAATCTGTCAACAGGAAGAAATTCTGGGGAGCTATCTGACCCCCTCTCTATGGTACCTTGGTGACATCCCCTCTCCTGCCACAAATTATGTCACTAGGCCTTTCCCAGGGACTGCCTCCTCCAGGCCCGGAGCCCCAGTAGGCAGAGTTTGAGTTTGAATTTGAGCCTCTAGCCAGGCCTTGCTTGGGGAGTCCTGGGGGGGCCTTGAGGGGCCGGATGAGGAGAAGTTCCTTGGACACACCCACTCTGAGACGTGGAGACTGAAGAAAGTAGTTGTTTCCCAACTGTTTCTGCTCAGCTGGGAACTTGTCTGGGTCCCCCGCCAGCCCCCCGACACACCACCCCACCCCAGCACTGCCCCCACGGTAAATGAATGCCGTGACTTGGGCTTCCAGGCTCCAGGACACAGGGGGCACCTGCTGGGCATGGAAAGTGAGGAGAGAAGGGCCCATTCCCCTCACCTGCACATCACCCTGAAAGCCCTGGAGCAGCTGCTTCTGAAAGGCGCAGGTGGCAGCCACCAGGGGCTTCTCCAGCTCTTCAAGGCTTCCTGGGAACCTGGCCAGAAGATGAGTTCTGGGGAGGGGCCAGGACAGGGGACAAAGTGAGCAAGGGGGAACAGGCTGGGGTCAAGGCCTGGCATACAGCCATGAAGACTGGTGCCACACCAACTCCATTCACTTAGACTATAATGTGAAGGGCAGACCCCTGGGGCTGGGAGCAGAGTCAAGTGAGGGGACAGCGCTATGCCCAGATCATAGAGGGGCCGGGCAGTGGAGTGGTGTGGTCCCACCGCATGGCAGAGCTCCCCTGTGGCAGCGCTGAGCCGAACCTGTATCCCTCTTGGTGACAGAAAAGTGCAACGCAGCCATTCCTGGCACAGGGGCCCCTCCTTTGAGCCTCATAACTGCCTCTCCAAATATTATAATGTCCCCATTTCACTGTTGAGTAAACCGAGGGCCAGGCTCTGCCCGGTCCCCAGCCCAGGGACACAGAAAGGCAGGCTAAATTTCCATCAGGGGCTTGGCCAGAGGCTGCCTACCGAGAAACAGAGAATGTTCCCTGGGGCTGAACCCCAGGGTTCCCCGTGCCCAGGGCCAGTCTGGCACAGGTTAGGGACAAGAGAGTGTTACAGAAGCAGTGCCTCGGCGTGGTCAGGCTTTGGGTTCACACAGACCTTGTTCACGTCCCAGATCCAGCCCGTCCTGTCTGTGTGACCGGGGACAAGTGGCATTTCCTTTCTGAGCCTCCACATTCCCATCTGTACATGGGGACCCCACCCTTGCGCTGCAGCAGCTGATGCATCTTAAGTGGGGGGGACACTAACGCTTGGCACAGAAGGGGGACAGCCAGTGCCAGCCCACGGGGGGCCTCTGCCTTCTGTGGGTAGATAAACCCAGGCCCCAGCACGAGCAAAGCCCTGGGAGGGAAGTGTCAGGAAGGGCTTCTTGGCCTCTGCTCGGCCTTGAAACTCCCCGCATCCCTTCCAGGGCCTCAGCTCTGCGGGGCCGGGACAGGACCCCACGGCGGAGACGGAGGCGGAGAGGCGAGCTATCCCTGGAGGCCTCCTGGGAAGGCCGCCTGAGGCCGCCGCGGTAGCCTTCCCGGTCCCGGTTCCCTCAGTTTGCGCGCCCCCTGCCGGCCGTGCTCGGCACCGCCCCTGCGGAGGAGCGAGATAAACCCACCTGAACTCCTCGCAAGCATTGATGTTGGCGCACAGGTTAGGCTCGCTCACCGCCCCCGACTCCAGGAAAGCCTTTTCAAACCTGGCGGAGAGGTACGCAGAGGTCTTGGAAACTCTTTCTGGCTTCTATGACCTCGCGTCCGCCCTCCCTCCGGCCTTACGATGAGGCTTGTCCGGGGATCTCGGACACTGAGCCAACAGGATGGGCCCTCCCCAGGGACGACCACCGTCCACACCCTGGCCACTCCACCCACCACACCCCGGCCCAAGATGCGCCCCTACCTGGGCAGGAAGAGGCCAAGGGCCCGCGTGCAGATCTGCAAGGTGGTGGCCTCCAGCTCCGCGGAGATGACGCCGGCTGCCTTCACGTGCTGTGCCACGAGCTGAGAGCGATGCCACGCGCTGAAGGCGCGTCTGAGCCCTCAGTCCCGACGCCCCCAGCCCCCCACCTCGCAGCCCCGTGATGTCTCCAGCCTTCCCTGCCCTTCCTCGACGTCTCGCCTGCAACTTCCAGCGGCCCCAGCCTCGAGGTCAGCCCTCCCAACTCCCCCCACCCACGGGGCCGCCTGCTAAGCTGGGAGCTGTGGCCTGGCGCTCCCAGCTTGGCCAGGCAACCCGAGGGCCTCTGATCCGGCCCCACATGGGGCCTCAAGCTCCCGTCTAACGGGGAGGCGGTTATGACTGTAGTTTACAGCTCTGGGTGTCTCTACCGCCTGAGGCCCAAACACATGTCCCTCCTTCTGGGCGCACCATGTGTACGTCGACGGACAGCGGCGTACGGTAGTGGCCCTGCAGCACGTCGGGGGCCTCGGCAGCCACCCAGCGACTCTGTTCTACCTGCAGGATGCCATCGAAGCAGCTCGCGATCTTGGTCTGTGCGGGGTAAGGAAGGGGCCGCGGTGAGACCCTCCCAGGAAGGAGGTCCCCTACCTCCTGAGCCCAGAGCCCCGTCACGCGCCCTTGGAGACAGGGGCCACCCTGCTGGTGCACAGGCCCACGCCTGAGGGCACGGAGCCTCCCTGCAGTGGGGCGGCAGCGGCCACACTCAACCTGGACCCCGCCCCCTCCGGCCTGGCCCCTCGTGGCCCTTACCTCCAGGAAGCTGGCGTAGTCGCTCTCGAGTCGGGCCCACACATCGGGTGCCAGGAGTGGGGGCAGCGGCTCCGAGGGCAGAGCCAGGTCCTGGGAGCCCAGGAAATCAGGACTGGAAGGCAGGGTGGGGCCTGAAGTTCTGAGCAGAACTCTGATGGGGCAGCGGCTGCCCCTACTCCCCTCTGGATAGGCTCAAAGCCTAACGCCATCACCGTGAGGGCCCCGAATCTGGGCTGTTCACATCCTCAGCCCCCCAGCACGCCCTCCAGGTTTCCATGCCAGACACCCCTCCCCGCGGCTTCTGACTGCAGGACTTCCTGTTACCCTCAGCAATCAGGTGTGCATGCACAGAGTGCATAAAGAGGGCCGTCCAGATGGACCTTGACCAGGTTGCCTCGGGTGTGACCACTACCCTCACGGTCAGGGTACACCCAAGACTGAACTCTAAACGCCCCCAGGACCATGCAGCTCAGGGACCAGCCACTATCCTGTCCACACTAGGGAGGCCCAGACAGGGGCGGGTACTTGTCTGAGGCCACAGGGCCTAGTAAGGAGCCCAGAACTTTGGCGCCCTCCTCCGGCTTGCCTGTCTGCCCGTGGGGCTGGGGAGCGCTCAGCGGGAGAGGTGACCCACCCCATGACGTTCTGCAGAGCCCTGAACCCAGGTGTCCATCCAAAGCGAGAGTGGGGCTGAAAGCCAGCTCACGCCAAGCGCTGTGAGCCCACGGCTGTGTCCTGCCTGGAGGGGTGCCCGTTGCGAATTCACTCAGAGGCACCCTGTGGACTAGTTTGTGCCTAACTGGGCTCCCTGCCTCATAAGCAACCCCCGCCCCCCACCCGGATGCTTTCCAGCTTCAGGAACCGGCGGCTGATGGCCCCCTCCCCTCTCGGGAGAGCACCATGGTCTAGAACGGAGAGGAGAGAATGTCGAAGCCTCCCGGATATCGCCAGCACTCTCCGGGGAGGAAAAGGGGAAGAAAGGTGCCCTGTGCTCTTTAGAGCAGGTTCCTGAAGGCCTCTCATGTGGGCAGTTCCAGCCCCTCCTTGCCCCTCATGGCGTCCTGGCTGGGGCCTCACCTGCTGTAGACATTGGAGGCCCAGTCCAGCAGGATGTAGAGCTGCTCGCAGCCGTGGGTGTCGTGCGCCAGCTCCTGGAGGCGCTGGGCCACTGCGCCGTGGAAGGCGCGCAGGTAGGCCTCCCACGCGGGATAGCCGGCGGCCGCGTAAGCCGGGTGCACCTCCAGCTGCACCTTCTGCAGGTCGTGGCGAACCAAGCGGCCGAGCTCGTCCAGAAGCTGGGCCAAGCCGGACCCCGGGGCCTCCCCCGCGCTCACCTGCTGCACACGCTCCCGCGCGCTCCGGCGCACCGCGTCCTCCCAGTGCTGGCGCCAGTGGCGCGGCGTGCACAGAAAGTCACCGTCTGCAGGGGGCTCTGGGTGGGCCTCCTCTTCCGCACGCACCACGCGGGCCAGCTCCGCGAGCACGGCCGCGTCCACGCCGTCTGGGCCCAGGGTCTCGAGCACGATGGCGCCGATCTCTGCAGCCAGCCCGTCGTAGTGCAGGCACAGGTCCATGGCGCGCCGCGCAAAGCCCGTGGGGTCCTGCTCGAAGGTGCGCGAGGCTTTCTCGGCCACTAGCCGAGTCTCGAGGTGCCGCAGCTGCTCGAAGGCCGCCAGCAGTTTCCGCTCCGTGATGAGGTCAGCCACAGATTTGTCTTTTGCGAGGTCAGGTGAGAAGAGGGGCAATGAGGGGGACGCCTCAGCTAGGCCTGTCAGCCCCAATCCCACACATCCGGAGCCGGGCTGCCGGGCCCCAGAGCTGCATCTGAAGGCCTGCTCCAGGAGCGACAGCCCCAGGTGCCCTGTGTCCTTTGGAATCACCTTTGAAGAGGCAGAACCCCAGGTCCCAAGCCTGGCTCAGAAGAGCAATTGGGATCAGCCCCTGCCTTCCCCCTCCCCCACTCCCATTCCCACTCCCAGCTCTACAGAACTAGACCTGGTGGCTTCAAGTACAGTCCTGACTGCAGGTCCATTGGGGTCAGAGCTCAGGGTGGGCATGCCCAGGCTCCTGCCGCAGTGTCCAGCTTCAGCACTTCTTGCTGTTCCCTGCTCTGGGCCAACTTCCAGCCCCTAGGAGCGCTCTGCCTTCACCTACATTCCCCCTTCAGGGCCCTACTCCAATGTGTCCTCTCCTGGGCAGCCCCCTGTCCTCTCCTCTGCCCCATGGCTCATAGGCACCCTCTGTGACGCTGTGATCTGAGAGGGCCAGTGCCTTCTCCACCACTCTGGTTTGGCCAGGAGCCAGGCTGTGGAAGCCTCTGGAGTCCTGGGGTCCTGCAGATCTCGGTTCACATCCCATTTTTCCACTTCCCAGCTGTGAGACTTGAGGCAAGTCACTTAACCTCTCTGAGCCTCACTTTTCTCAGCTGCCCTTGTTGGAATGTTGGAAGAATTTAACGTGAGATTGTACAGGGGCAGGGGTTTGGGGTAGCTGGGGAGGAGAGCCTGTCAGGAAGCCTAGGCCCCACTGCCCCCCTCTCTGGCCTCGGTTTCCTCCCCCGCTTAGCAGTGAGGAAGCCCTCACCTTCTAGTTCCGCAGGCCCTGCCCCAGTGGATGACTGCAGGCTGACACCGTCCACGGCCCTTGAGGGCGCCTCCCGGCCATGGGCCACCCCTGGCCCAGTGGCAGCCTGGGTCTGGTCAGCAGCTGGGCCCTCGTCCCGAGCACGCCGTAAAGACCGGAACAAGAGGCGGGAGCTGCGCCTGAGCAGGCCTGGGTCCTCCTGGGGGGCGCAGCCCGAAGCCCACTGGCTTGCCTTTGAGAAGGCCCGCCGAAGGGTGCCCAGGCCAGGCCTCAAGCCCTCACGATGGGCGCTGGACGCATCCTCGCTGCTTGCCTTCCGAGTGCCCTGAGCTGGGATCTGGGGTACCACAGGCTCCCTGGGGTTGTGCAGCTCCGGCCCAGAGGCCACTGTCTGAGGCGACGGCATCTTGGCGGCAGCAGAGCTGGGGGCGAAAAGGAGGCTCAGGAAGCCCTGGGGGGTGCCTAGCCCCCAGGAGCAGACACAGAAACCCATGAGAGCCCTGTGGGATGTGCTGGGGCCCAGTAGCTTAGTCAGGGAAGCCTTCCCCAGGAGATGACCCCAGGGCTGTCAAAAAGGAAATGTCACCAGGCAGCTCCCATGGCCAGAGCCCTCTTTGTGCCAGGCTGCAGCTACTTCTGCAGACACAGACAGCTGCTTCCATCAGGAAACCTTCCCTGACACCATCTTCCAAGAAGGTCTCCTCCAGGTACCCACCTCACCGGCTTTGCCAGGCCAGACCCTCCCATCGGAGCTGGAGACCCTCCCATCGGAGCTGGAGAACGCGTGGGTTCCGGGGCACAGCCCGACCCGCAGCCCACAGTCCCTGGGGCTGGGCCCAGAAACCACGTCCAGGACTTCCTGGACCTTAGGTCCTGAGGCTAAAATGCCCACCCCCTCCACAAGCCACTCACTGCCCCCCACCCCATCCTTCAGCTCACCCCCATTCAGCCATCAGGCCTAACTGCTTCTGCTCAAAGCGGAGCTCAGGGACCCCCGTGGGAGGCCATGCCTTTTCCCTGGGTGTCTCAGAACTGGAGGGAGGTGGGGTCAGGCCGGAGGGGGCTGGCCTAGGCCACCGGGGCTTATCGGGCCTTGCAGCCTGCAGGGAAGGTTGTGGGAGGGGCCGTGCTTCTATATTTAACCAGGGGCGGGAGGTTCCCAAGCTGTTTCTCACCCATTGCATCTCCTCCCCACCACCCAGGGAGGTATGCTCTGGCCCCTCCCCGACAGAGGGTGGGGAGGGGGTCCCCAGGGCATGGGGGTGCAGAACAAGGGCTGCCCCTGACCCACCCCGAGCGGGGCCCTCACCACCCGGGCTCCCCCAGGCTCCGCCCACACCCCACCCCCTTTCCGCCCAGCCTGGCTGTGTTTGACTTTCTGCCTTTAGGTTAAGCTAGGGGTGGGAGAAAGGAGAGAAACTTCTTGGCTGCTGGAACCTCCCACCCACCCCATTGTGTTAAGAGGGGTTGGAGATGGTGGGGGGCCAGCAAGGTCTCACTTTGGCCTTGAAGAAACTGGGGCCCAAAGAAGGGCAGGACCTGCTGAAGTCACTGACCAACCAGAGGCTGAGACCCCCCCATCCCCAGGTCACCCCCCACCATGGGGACAAAGGCCAGGCTGGAGCCAGCACCTGACTCTTGGGTGATAGTGGGCAGGAACGGCCCCTCCCCAGGCCTCAGTTTGACACCAGGATGGGCAGGACCCAGACCCCTATCCACCCCCTCCTGCCCTCCAGCGAGATGTCTGTGCGGGGGTCAGACATGCAGGGGGTCCGCTGAGGCCTACCTTCCTCTCCCAGAGGCCACTGAGCTGCTGGAAGGAGGCCCCACTGAGGGAGGGGCAGGCTCAGTGATTGATGGGGGCCTTATCAGCCCCACCCCGGCCACAGGTCGCTGTCCTCCCCTGGTGCCAGGACTCGGGGACCCGGCCCGCAGACCAGCCCAATGGCAGGGAGCATTGTCACAGGAGCCGGCCATCCCCTCCACCCACTGCCCCCCCACCCCACCCCCGGTGTCCCCCAGTGCCCAGCAGGGGCAGGTGTGGTGATGAAGAAAGCCATTCCAGCTGTGCCCAGCCTGCCGTGCTCCGGGCTCTGTCTCCAGGGAGTGTGGGGGAAGGACAAGCTGGCCTACCTTGGCTGGGAAGAGCTCACACTTAGTAAGCACCCCTTGCGTGCTCAGCCCAATGCCCGACACACGTCAGATCCCCATGACAACAAAGTGGCAGGGTGTCGTTCACCGCATTTCATACATGAGGAAACAGGCTCAGAGAGGGACAGGGTCTTGCCTTAAGCCACACAGCTCCCGGGTGGGGAGCCTGGGCCAGCCCAGGTCTGTCTAGGAACCTGGGAGCAGAGGCTGGACTCCTGTGTCTCCCGGCATCAGCAAGCCCTGCTGCCCGAGGAACCCTTTCTCCTGGCAGAGGTTCGGAAGGTGGGGTCAGCTCCAGATGCCCGGAGCGGGGTCGGACTTGAAGCTCCCCCAGGAAGCCTAGAGGCAAGTTCTGGGGGAGGAGGGGCAGCTGGTGGCTGGGTCTCATGGGAGGTCACAGAGGCAGAGACTTGGAGCCCACCTACCCTGCTCAACCACCCTCGTCCCAAATCAGAGCTGCACTGAAGGCCCATCGAGGCCCCCAGCTGGTCCCTCTGCCCCCTGTTCCCTGAATCCCACTCCTGCAGCTTCCCAAGTCATTCTTGACCCTCACAAGGCACAAGTCAACCCGGTCACTCTCCTACTTTAAACCCTTCCGTGGCTCTCCGCAGCCCTCAGGCCAAGCCTGAGCCCCACAGCCTGGCATTCGAAGCCCCCTGTCCTGGACCGAGCTTTCTGCAGCCTCATTTCTGGGCCTCCTTGACCTGCACCCATCCAGCCCCACCAGCCGCCTCGTGCCCATCCAGCCTCCCACCTTCTACTTAGGCTGCTCCTTCTCCCAGCCTCCCCCTCTACTCCCCGAATCTGACCTGGTCTTCAGAACCTCGGGCGCAGGTGCCTCCACCTCCAAGGAGTCCTCGGGCTGTGCTGTGCCACCTGTGTGCTCGCCAGGCCCTCGGACTGTCCCTGTGGCGATGGGGCCTCGTCACTGGCCTGCGGACCTCTGTTCTACCCGCTGCCCGTCACCCCAGAGCCAGCCTGGCAGAGGAGTGAACCATCAATGTAAGGGTCACCCCCTGCCTGGCTGGCCTGGCCAGGCGTCATGCTGGTGTCTTCTGGGCTGCAGACTCCTTGCCGACTCTACCTTGGCCCCTGCCCCGTGCCTGCCTCCCCACCCATGGGGCCTCTCTCTGGCTTTCTTTCTCTCTGTCCCATTGCCCTGAGTGTTCAGAGGCCCTTGTGCCTGGGACGCGGTGCTAGATGAGCTTCAAGGCCCAGGAGGCCCAGGCCTAGCCTGAGCCCTGGGCCCCATGTTCTCCAGGTCAGGCCACGGCACCCACACTGCAGGGCCAGTGGCAGGGGCAGGAATGCCACCCAGAAGACATGGCCACTGGAAGTTCCCATCTGGGGCCACCCTATCTGTGACCAAGAAGTCAAGTTTGGGCTTCCCCCACCACTTGCTATCCCCAGCCCCAGCTTCCACCCCCTTTTCCTAGGCCTTCCCTCCTATAGCATCTCCTCCCAGGTATCCCATGGTGCCCTTCCCACTCCCAGCCTCTCCGCCTACCCTGGGCCTGGACTGTCACCCCATCCTTCAAAGCTCCAAATTAGCCACCTCGGGCAGGGGACTGTGTCTCCCTCATACCTCCCACCTGCCACCCCCCATCACCTGATTACAGGTCCTAACTGTACCCCTTCCTAGACCCTTTGGAACCCATCTCGTCAGAGCAATGGGGGGGTCTTGCCAAAACATAAACCTCCCTTAAAACCCTTCCTTGCAAGGTAAGGTTCTTCTCCTGAAATACGGAAGAAGACAAGCGTGTGTTCTCACACTATTCCACATTTGCCTAGAAGAACTAGCGAAGGCAATAAGGCAAGAAAAATGAATAAGAAGTATAAATATTGGGAAGGACCTGATAAAAAATGTCATTATTTGTAGGTGATATGATCATCTGCTTAGAAAAAGCTTTTCTATACTCCAGAAAAGCCTATTTTTAAAAGGCATTTAAAAGGCTTCCCTTTTTAATAGCAACAAAACATAACCCCTCTCCCCACCCTGGGCTGCCATCACCCTCGGGAGAAGCACAGATCCTTAGCTGGGCATTCAAGACCCTTCCTAACTGGCCCCTCCAGTTTCATCTACTCAATCCCTCACCCACTCTGATCACTTGGGTGCACTCACCTCTCCTCCACACCTTTGTACAGACTGTTCCCTCTGCCAACAGTGACCTCACCCCCACCTTCTGCAGCTGCTGACTCCTTCAAGGCTCAGCACATGTGGCTCCTCCCCCAAGAAGCCTTCTCCAACCAGCTGAGCCCCAGATTATGGTCAGCGCCTCCTGCTCTGGGCCTGGTTCCTGCCCTGGGCACACCTTCTCCCATGATCGGGGGACAATGACAGGGTTTGGGACATCTGCCTCTTGACCAGAAACCCCCCCAGGGCAGAGATTGGGCCTGACCCAGCCTCCAGCCAGGGCTGGTACATGGCAGGTGCCCAAGGAAAAGAGATAAACAATTTCATGTAGGCGAATCAGCCCATAGGTGTGCCACTACTTTGTGCATATGGGTTTTGTACAACTATGTGTTAACCTGAGTGTGTCTCCCGGTACGTGTGTGCCTCAGAGTGTCTGTGAGTGGTTCTGTTCGTGAGTCCATGTAGGTCTGCATGTTCATGTCTGTATGCTTTCTATCTCTGTGTGTTGTGTGTGCATGTGTGCACGCGTGTATCACTGTGATTTGAGCTGGCATTCTGGCCTGGGCTCCGAGCCGGGGTGCTCAGCCTGGAAGGCCACTAGCAGAACCAGAGTTGTCCTCAGCCCCTTAAGTCCCCGCCTACTCCCCACAGCACCCCGGTGGCCCTCCTGCCCCACCTGCACAGACATACCTGCCGGGTGAGTAGACACTGGGCCCCAAACAGAGCAGGGCTGCCAGGAGAAGCCGGCCGAGCTGGGGCCTCAGAGCCGGGCCCAGGCGCTGGGGCCTCTGGAGCAGCCAGAGCGAGTGACCAACAGCTGGGACTCCCCAGCTACCGCCAAGCTGGCCACGGCCCCCAGCCCCCCCAGCCCCCCCCAGCCCCACCCTCCACCGCAGCCCCATGCTTTCACTTGTAGAAATGCTCCCACCCCCTTCCCACTCCAGAGGCAATCACTCCAACCTTTGACTCCTGGTAGCGCAGGCTCAGGTTCAGGCCAGGGGCCATGGAGGGGAGGGACGAGGAAGCAGCGCTCCGGAGGCCATGGAGGGGGTAGACACGGCTGGGGAGGGCTGGTCAGACTGAGGCCAGAGGCAGCAGGCGCCAGCTGGCTGGAAGGGGGTACCCAGCCCACAGCGGCCAAGCCCAGAAGGACCCCTCCCTCCAGGGCAGAGTCGCCAGCGCCAGCCCTGTGCCCTGCCTGGCGCTAAGAGACCCGAGGGCAGAAATGGGGGGGAGACAGCGACGGCCAAGGGAACATTGTAGGCCACCTGCCAGGAGCTGGAAGAAGGAGAGGGGCCCTCGAGAACAGATAGGATTACACTCAGGGACAGGAGGGATAGCAGGGGTCCGCCCGTGAGGGAAGGTGAGGAGGTGGGCCTGAGCCTGAGTGGCCAGGAGCACAGGTCCCACTCCTCCAAGGTGGCTCCAGCTAAAGACATTTTGTGGGGAGGGTCACTGAGGAGACGCTGGCCCGACACCCTCCTGGGGGGATTCCGCTGCTGGCGTCCTAGGGAAAAATCTTAGGGAAAATCCAGGGAGGACAGATCCAGGCCTGTTCACTCAGGCTGGAGCCACAGGGGCGTGGGGCAGAGCAGGGGAGGTGCTCTGGGCAGCGTTCTGAAGAGAGCAGACACAAGCCCCTGAGCTGTCCCAGGGCTGCCATAACACAGTACCATGGGCTGGGGGGCTTAAACAGCAGACATTTATTTTCTCACAGTTCTGGAGACTGCAAGGTCCCAGATCAAGGTGTTGACAGGGCTGATTTCTCCTGAGGCATCTCTCCGTGGCTTGTGGACGGCCGTCTTCTCCCTGTGTCTTCACATGGTCATCCCTCTGTGGGTCTGTGTCCTCATCTCCCCCTCTTATAAGGCCATGTTGGATTAGGACCCACCAAAATGGGCTCATTTTAACTTAGTCACTCTTTACAAAGACCCACCTCCAAATACAGTCACGTTCTGAGGTACTGGGAGGTAAGACTTCAACATAAGAATTTTTTGAGGACAAAATCCAGCCCATAACAGATTGGAAGGCACCTGAGATGCTGCAGTACCTTGCTGACATCTGCACATGGACCAAGTTGTACATGGAGATACCGGCACCTCCTCCAGGAAGCCCTCTAGTTTTCCCTTGAGTCATCAGTCCCCAGAGCCCTGGGTTCCCCTCTGTGAAGTGGGGCCATAAGAGTCCCAGCTCAAGCCTGTGAGGCACCCCGCTGGTTGGGTGGGCCTTCCCCCCCACCCCCGCTCAGGCCAGCCTGCCCAATGGCCTCCTGTCCCATGTGTCTCCAACAGTCAGAGACTAAGAGATGAGGGGGCAAGCACAACTCAAGAGACCGAAGTGGGGGGGGCCCTCGAGGTGATCACCCAGGGCTCTTCGGTGGAAGTCCTGGGACCCCGTGGGGTAGCTGCTCTCCACCCATATTGCACTAGGACACCAACTCAGAAAGGCATAGGAACCTGCTCACGGCCACACATTTGGCAAGAAAGAGGCTAGGCTTCCAGCCTAGATCTCTGCCTCTGAGGACTGGGTCTTCCCATGGGGCAGGGCCCCGGTGGACACTGGGGGCTCCTTGGTCTGCCCCTCCTGTTCTCCAGGTCACGGGGCACATCTGAGTGCTGGGACCTCCCAATGTAGGTCACCTCCACTCAAAAGACAGGTCCCTAAAAAGTTGGTGGTGCCCAGGCCTAGGGGGTTGCCCCCAGACCTCTTCCCAACTCCCAGCTGCACCCCACCCCTGCCCAAACCTGTGCCCGCTTTTCAGCATGAGGCTGTGCTGTTTCTTTTACTCTATTTCCATGTTGTTTTCCCCCAACTTTCTCAGTAAAATCTCTTCGGAAAAGTCCCATCCTTGTCTCAGAGGAGCCGTGGGCACAGGGCCGGTCTGGCCCGGGTCAGGAGAAGGCCGAGCAGAGGGGGTAGTTGGGAAGAGGCAGAACAGCTGGGGACCCCAAGAAGAGAGCAATTCCTCTGCCCCATGTTGGGCTGCACAGCCCTGGGAGAGGCATTTCTCATTCAGCCTCAGGTTATTCCTCCATAAAAGGGGGTTGTTGTTGGGATCCAGTGGGCTCACCTCAGCAGAGGACCTGGCACCCAGGGCAGGAAGGGAGGGAGAAGGACCACACCACCAGATGCTTGCCTGTCCTAGGGGATCCTGGGGAGCCAGGCTACTACACGCTGAATGTAGAGGCCCAAAGCGGCAAATTCCACTTACACTGCCGCCGGGTCCAGGGCAGCGACCGGCCTGGGAACAGGACACCAAGGCTCCAGCCTCTGCCCCTAACCGGCTGTGGGCCTGGGCAGGGGTCAGTGTCTGTCTCTGAGCCTCGATCTCTCCGAGGCCGATGTTGCAAAGTTTAGGTTGGCCAGCTCCTGCGTGCTGGGGGCGGGGCCGCAGGAGGAGGGGCGGAGCATATATCTCTGGCACCGCCCACTACAGTTACGCGCAAGCTCGCGGGTCAGTCGTTGTGCGCGTGGTCTCAGCCTGCTGGTCTTGAAGGGCCGAGGCCCTGCGCTGTGCGGGACAGAAGACCCACAGGGTGAAGATCGCCCCCACTGGGCTGCCTCCCCGGGCCTGACACCCCCTTATTCTCCAGCTCACGGAGCACGACGGGGACCCGGGACCTCCAGGTGGGTCGCCTCCACCCAAGAGCTGCCCTGTTAGGCGGTGAGCTCCAGAGTGGCGTTGTGGGTACCGCTAGGGCTTACGCCTCGGGCGGGCGCACCTGGGATCCTGCCCCAGCCCGGCTCTTTGTCAGCTGTGGGACCTTGAGAAAGTCGCGTTTAAATGGCTGCAACACTCTGCCTGGGAGGGGCGAGGATGAAATCTCAGTAAATAGCACCATCGTCCCGCCCCTCCCCAGCATTCCACACCAGGAACCCGGAAATGACTCCTGCTTGCTCAGGTCCTCGACCCAATCCCATGTGTCAGCAAGTCCTGGCAAGGCTTTCTGTGAAGTGTCTGCCCCCTGCCCCCTTGTGGAGCCGACAGGAAGGGTCTGTGGAGGAAGAGGGGCGGGACCTTGAAGGACAGCCCAGCCTCCTCCTAAGAGGACCCATCCTGGGCCTGTGTACTGGCCGCAGGTTTAAAATTAAAGCAGGCTGCCAGGCAAACTTCTGCACCTCGCCTCCCACCTCTCCTGCATTTGGGGGGTGGGCTATTTTTAGAAAGAAGGCGGGTAGGAGAAAGTGCCTTATTCATCCTGGAGGTTAGCAAGGCCTCCAGAAAAGAACAGAGGGGCCTGTGTCTCCCACCTCCTCCTCCAGGTTCACCAAGACCTCACGCTACCACCCACCTGGGCCTGTGGATTTGTTGAGCTAACATCTAGGCAGGGCTCCCCCTTGCCAGGCCCTGAGCTTCCTCAGGCCTGGGTCAGCCTGGCTGAGAGCAGGGGGCCAGGTTGGGATGATGGGAGGGAGTGGGTCCAGGCAGTGATCAGGTTTCTGCGCCCCACGCCCACCCCAACCGGCCAGCAGAGCCAAGAAACGATGTCACTGTACCCCATGGAGGGATAGGGCCCTCGCGTGGCCCAGGAGGAGGTGCTACCCAATCTCCCACATGGGCACTCTGGCTGGATCAGTGGCTTCCCAACTTCAGGGATGCCGTCATAGCCGGGGCCAGCAGTAGCCTTGGGCACCTCACTTGGCACCTCCGCTTCCTCATCCATACAATGGGATTACGCAAGGATTTAATAAGATTCAAGCTGGAATAGTGCACCCCACCCATGTACCATTCCTGTGCCCTACTGCACCCAGAGTGGGTAGGGGGTGACAGGAAAAGTCCTGCCTCGGGGTCCAGCCAGGGCTGGAGGCCCCAAGGAGGGGGGGAGGCCACCTAGAGGAAGCTGGTCTATCCTTGGACAGCCTCAGCTGAGGCCGAGCAGAGCAGAGGGCCCTAGGCAGGGCGCCAGAGCAGCAAACACGACAGTCCCGCCAACCACCCTCACCCCCAGTGTGGAACACCCAGTGGTCACTCACTGGGCACTCTGGTCTGGTCAGCACGGGCTCTGAACAGAGGCCCTTGCCTGGAAGGCCACTGGCAGAACCAAAATTGTCCTTAGCTCCTCGAATCCCCACCAAGTGCACCCCCTGACCACCAGGAAGAGTCTTTATTTCTGCTTCCAACCAGAGAACAAGGAGGGGTGTGATCCGGACCCTGGGCTGTGGACAGGAGAGGGCCGGGGCTTGCAGTGCTGGCGGAGCTGGTGAGGCCGGAGGTGGTAGCTCAGCTCTGCCTACTGAGCGCCCGGGCAGGCCCAGGCCGCTCTGGGGCTGAGGCCCTCCCAGCTGTCAGAGCCCAGGGACAGCGGAATCTGGCCATGTCCTCGTCTCATCACTGGGTGCAGGGGGACTGGTCCTCAGAGCTGGCACGCTTGCTGCCAGCGTCATCTGGAACCTTCCCTGGTGCTCCCGGCAGACTCGGTGAGGGAGGCTGCAGAAACACAAGGGCCTCCGTGTTGGTGGCTGATGCATTTCTGACAGGTCTGCAAGGAAACGTGCGAGGGTGGGGCAGGCCCCAAGTTCCCCACGGGCGAAGGAGAGGAGGTGCTGGGTGCGTGGTCCTCGGCGAGAGGGCGGATGAGGCCAGGCTCTGGGAGCCCCCGCCCCAGAGCATGCCCACCAGAGCTTGGGAGGAGGCCCGGGGACCTCCCCAGAGCCCATGTGTCACTGGTTACCCGAGGGGCGGACCCTGGACAGACCTGGCAGAGGCTGAGGGGAGTCTGGGGAGAGGTGGGCGGCACGGCATGGACAGGCTCCTTCTGGGCCCAGGCTGCAAGGGGCCTGCGGGCCAGGGAGGACTGCAGCGGGGGCAGGGAGCTGGCCTCTGGGGAGGAGCAACCGGCAGGCGGGGGGCCAAGCAGCCCCAGCTGAGGCTGAATTCCCTGGGACAGACTCCCCAGGGGTCTCCAGGGGACAAAGCTAGCCAGGGCGCAACGCACCCCTCATGCACCCTCCACAGAGGCCTTCACTGCCCAGCCTGCTGTTTCTCCCGCGCCGCAGGGCTGGCTCCTGGCTGACCCCTCTCCTGCCCGCATCCCACTCCCAGAAGCTCCGCTGGCTCTGGCAGCCCCTCGGCGTTTAACCAGGGCGCCCACGCCAAGACAAGCACCTCCCACCAGGCTGGCCCATCTCCCCGGCCTCGCACCCACACCCGTACCCCGCGCAGGCCCTGGTGGGCAATGCACGCCTGTCCCAAAGGTAATGAATCGTGAGGGCGAGGGGAGAGGGGGTGGGACCGGTGGCGAGGGGTGAGAACAGACGCATACCTGTGTGCCAGGCCAGGGGCCACAACAGCGGATGAGGGGACCTCGTGTGCCGATGGGAGGGGGACGGTGACAGGGAGAGGGGCAGGCCAGGCAGCGCCTAAGCGCCGAGCAGAAGCTCACAGGGCAGGCAGATGGATGGGTGCGAGCAGGCTGGAGGGCGGGGGACCCGGCTCCCGACTCCTCTCGGGACCCCTACAGGCAGCCCCTCACTCAGCAGCAGCAGCCTGGCTCTGGGTGGACCCCCTCTGGGCGCCCTCCGGAGGCCAACACAGCTCCCCGCTCGCCACGGCACCCCCCTTGCCGGGCTCCACCATGATTGAGGGCAGCCGCTGGCCCACCCGAGGGCCCTTCTCCCGGGCACCCACCATGGCCTGCAGGGTGGGTGGGGGTCAAGGCAACGCCAGGCCTGGGCTCCCCACTCCCTGCCATGCCTGTCCTGCACTGTCCCAGTCCTCAGGGCCAGGAGAGCACATGCGCATACCTGCACATCCCCCAGAGGGTCCCGGCCCCTCCCCCATCCCACTGCTGGAGCTGGGGCACTCAGCACCTGGGATTGCGGGCTCTCCCTGGGGCAACACAGGACCCACCTGGGCTCAGCCCTTAGGCCCATTTAACGAACAGCAGCCTGAGACCAGAAGGCCAAGGTCACATGGTGGGCGAGCTCAGGGCTTTTGTGCATCCCCAGCTGTCTCCGGTATCCTGCAAAGCCCCTTCCTGGGGTCTTTCCTACTGGGCCCTTGGCCTCCTCCCCAGCTCGGAGCAGCTGGGAAGCTGTTGCCATGGCAACCCGAGTGACTTGCTCCGGGCTCATTGTTCAGTGCCCACAGGAGCCCTGCGGGGGGGCTGCCTCCCCAAGCTCTCCTGGTGCCCTCAGCATCTCCGCCTCCCATTCAAGGCCTTCCAAGGTAGAGGCCCCAACCCCCAGTGCCGCGGCACAGGCCTCCGGCCCCGACGCCACAGCAGCCCTAACTTCCCTCTGTGGCTTTGCCTCGGCTGGTCCCCTTCCTGGAGCTCCCCATCCCCGCTTCTTTTACCCAGAAAGAGAACTGCTTGGTGCGTGTCTGCCTTCCCCCAAAGGTGCATCGAGGAAGGGCAGGCACACAGCCGGCAGGACTTTGTTAAATGGCCCTGAGTGCCCCCAGCAGAACCATCTGAACATGTGTTTAAATGCACTCTCTGGGTGGGGGCCCAGGAAACAGCATTTTAACAAAGTACCACAGGTGACCCTTAAGTGTGAAAACAGGTGTCACTAGGCTGGGACATCTGTGGAATCGGAGTGACAACAGAGCAGGGACCCCAGCATGGCCAATGACTGGACCTCCTGCTGGCCTTGCCAGTCCAGGGGGTCCTTCTGGGAATCCCTCTCCCCCCATCCCACCCTGCCATTCTCCTTCCTGCCCTCCTCCAGGGAACCCTGCTTGTCCCCGCCCAGGGGTGCTCCTCTGCCCAGGCAGTGGGGGAAGGCGATCCGGGCCTGTGGAGTTTGGTGTCCACCCTCCCCGTCCGCCCCGCCAGGAGGGCAAGCCCAGGCTCCAGACTGGCCCTCGTGCAGCTCTGGGCTGGTCCCCCCACTCTGGTCCCACTGTCCCCAAAAATGAGAAGAGCCCAACTCCAGCACTCAGGATATCAGGACGGCACCCCTTAGGCAGGGACCTCACTTTTCAGCTCCATCAATACCACCCGGAAAAGTAGCGCTGAGGGCAGGGGACCCTGGCATGGCCGAACCCAGCAGAGAGCAGACTGTCTTGGGCACAAGGTCTGCTTTGCAGATCAGACCCCCGTAGAGGAGAACCTCCACCCAGATGGGTAAACTGAGGCATGCGCTGAGTCGCAGGCCAGGGCTCCAGGGTGGCAGACCGCAGGGTCCCGACTGCATACCTTTCCTGCCAGGCCTCCAGCCTCCTCAGCTGGTTCAGCTCTGGCACGGCAGGCTGGGGGGCACTCATGCTGCTGTCACTGTTGGGCTGCTCGGAGACAAGGAGCAGAAACGGGGTGTCTGCTGTGGGCCAGATGCTCGATCCCACCCTCCTCCCGGAAGCTTCAGACGACTCCAGACCACACCCGCCCCACCCCAGGCCCAGCACCCACAGCCCAGGCTGGACCTCTCTCACTGCTGCTCCCTGCCTGAGCCCACCCTCAGAGGGGGCGCTGAGGGACAGGTCCCACACGGTGTGCCCAGGCTGCAGCGGGGTGGTGGCAGGAGTGCTCAGTCCTCCCTGAGAACAGACACCCTGCACACCCAAGGCGAAGGGAAACTGACCTCCTGCCTGCGTGTGGCCACGCCCACTCAAGCCAGGCGCAGGGGCAAGGGAGCTCCGCCAGAGACCACACAGCAGGGGCTCTGGGAAGAGAGGTCCTGCCAGGACTCGTGGGCACCAGCCTCAGACTGTCCACCTGCACTAGGCCAGAGGCAGAAATGGGGGCGGGCTCTGGCAGGCAGACACCTCGTTGGGCGCTGGCTCGGGGGACAGCAGCGGCCACGTGCAAGGGGCAGGAGCGCTGGGAGGGAGGGCACTGACCGGCAGGCTGGAATGCTTGTGATGCCCTGCTGCTTGTGGGGAGGGGATCCTGTGCCCACCCAGCAAAACAGGATGGCTGCCTTTCTGGGAAACGAGGTTTCTTTCACCCAGCACCCAGCTTAGGTCAGCTGAAGTCCCACTGGGACCCAGGGAAGGCTGCGAGGGGACCACACACTGCAGTGGGCATCCCAGGGCATACCCACCTGAGCCTCCACCCAATCCCAGAGCTTGTGAAAGCCCCTCCCCCCAGGCTGATGCTCCCAGGTCAGTCCCTCCAGAGGAGCCCTTCATGGGGGGTCCCATCCCAGGACCCCAGAACCTCAAGTAGAGGCCGGGGAGCCAGGACAGAGACCAGGAAAGTGGACTCAGAGATTCAGACAGATGCGAGAAAGAGCCAGAGGGACAGGCAGGAAAAACCCACTGGCCACAGAGACAACGCAGAGCTGATAGAACTGGAGAAAGAGAGAGACAGAAGACAGAAACTGACCCAGAGGGATTATGCGGATGGAGAAGGAGAGAGGAGGGGTGGTAGAGACAGGTGATAGAGCAAATGCCTGAGGGCTGCCACCCCGCAGCCCGGCGCCAGTGCCAGTGGGGCATCCGCACATCTAAGGCTCCGCCACCCACACCTCCCTCAGCTGCCAGGTGTGTAGGGCCAGGTATGGCCGCGCACAGCCCCCACATATACTGTTCTCGCCCAAAGCGCAGCGTCCAGCAGCAGCCAAGGGCTGACTGTGGTCCCCACACCCTCCCCTTCTCAAGGGAGCTCCGACTCAACCCCCCACTCGCCCCTTCCTCCTCTCCCACCCACGCCGCGCCTGGCCGCCCGGGCGCCCCGCGGGGCCCCGGCCGGGACAAGGGTGAGGAGGGGCGCCCCTTGTGCCTCACTCACACTCACCCGCCCGCGCTGGATGCCCGCGCCGGGGCTGCCACGCCGGGCTTGGAGCTGCTCGCCCCGTTCGCCCTCCGTGGCTCGCTCCCTCCCTTCGTCCCCCCGCGCTCTCCGCCCACGGGCTGTCCCTCGCGCCCCGGCCCTTCATTCACACTCACGCCCCTCGGCTACCGGCCACCGCCCTTCCCAGCTCCAGCTCCCAGGTAGCACCCGGCCTCAACCTCCCTTTGACAAGACCGCATCCCCCAGAACCTGATCCTGGTCACTTGAGGCGCCCAGCCTCAAATTTGAGGTGCAGGAAATCAGGGGGCAGAATTTGGGGAGGCCAGATACATAGAGGACGCCCTCCAATTGGAAGGGGGAGTGAAGAGGACTACACTCAAGTGTGAGGGCCAATATGTGCGGGGTGGGGGGGCCGTGTCACTGCACCAGTCCCCTCTTCACCCCTGATGCCATTCCCCAAAAGGAACAAAACAGCCTTGGGACAGTCAGTCTCATTCAGCCTGGTGGATAGGCCTGACACCTGAGGCCAAGATGTCTAACCTCTCTGATCCACATAATTCCCCACCCTTCCACCATCGGGCACCTAACATCCACCGTCATTTATCCAACGTCCAACGTCCATCCAACAACCACAATCTATCACCATTCAGCATCCACTTATCCAACCACCGTCACCTACCATGCGCCATCTATTCATGTCTTTTCTACCATCCAGTCACCATTCAACCACCATCCAACATTGACCATCTACCATCCATCAATAAACCAACATCTGTCCCATCCACAATCCACCACCTAACTTCCACCATCCAATTACCATCCATTCACTATCCACCATCCAACCACCATGCATCCATCCATTCCCCACCACACCCACCCAAGCATCAGTACACCATGAAAATACCCACCCTTCAGTCCAACCTTAAGTCACCATCCATCCATCCACCACCTACATATCCATCATTCACTAGGTAACAGCTTTCCATCAATATTTAACAACTATCTATCCATCTACTGATGATTTATCCATTCACCACATATCTGGCTGTGAATCATCAATCTACCATCTACTGTCTATTTACCTGAATTTATTCACCACCCAACCATTAGCCTCCAGCCACCCATTCACAATTCAGTCACCAGTCATGCCCCTCCCTAATCCATTCATATTTCTATAAACCATAATCTACTGTCCCCCACCCACTAGCCATCTACCATTCACCCACCTCTTATCCCTATTCACACATAGCTATCCGTTCATTGCCCATCTCACAATATCCTCTATCATCCATTCATCATCTATAATTCATTATTCATCCAAAACCCGTTCAAGAGTCCTCTACCACCCATCCATATTCACCCATTCTAGAAAAACTTACTGAGTGCCCTCTATGTACCAAGCATTACTTTAGGTGCTGGGGATGGAATAGAGAGACAGCAGTGAGCACTCATCCACCGTAACTCCTCCACCACTACAATCCATTCACCATCCAGCCAGTCATTATCTGTGCCTCATCCCCCATCCATTATTCACTATTCACTCAACATCCATGTCCATTTATTATCCATTCACTATCCATTTGCCATCTATCCATCTTCCTGTATCTATACATTAAACCCTGCATTTACAGTACACTGACCACCTACCAACCATCTACCATCTCTGTATCCAGAATCCTCCCATCCATTATCTGTCCACCATCCACCTTTCATCTACACGTCCACAGCACACAAACCATTATCTATTGACCTAGCAACCATCCATCTATTTGCCATTCATGCACCTTCCAGCCACCATTGACTTGTTCCCCACTGATGGTCCATCCATCACATATCCATTCACATTGATCTACCATCCTGCCATCCATTCTCTACAGCTAGATCCTTCACAAGCATCCACTTACCATTTATCCACCATCCATCCATACTCCCACGATTCATTCACCCAACAAGCGTCCACCACCCGCCACCTATCACCTGGAATGCATCCACTATCTATGGATATTTCAGTGTCCATCAATCCATCAGGTTGGTGCCCACATCCACCCACCCTCCATCTGTCAATCTACCATCTATTTAGCTATTCATCATCACTTAACTACCATTATGTAGGCGCATCCACCATCTTCCTACCATACGCCATCTAGCACCACTATCTACCATCCTTCCAGTACTTATCCAACCATTATCTATACACCATCCACCCAACCACACACACATCCTGCCATTGCATCCATCACTCATCCGTTAATTCACCTCCCATGCAGTCATTCATTCCTCACCAACCACCTACCCACTTAGTAACTTACCCATCCATCATTCTGAGATGAATTCATCTATTCCTATATTCTTATGTTATCCATACACATAAACAGAAGTAAATCATTCTCACTTCTCTTTTTCCACCACCCATCTCCATCATTCACCCATCCACCCATCTTCTCACCATTCTTCTGCCCATTTGTTCATAAACTAAGCATTTATTAATAAATCTTAATATTAAACATAAATAGTAAACACTTATTATTCAGTGCTAGCGCTGGGTTCTGGGATCATCAAAATGAATAAGATCTCATCTGTATTCACAGTCTGATGGTTCAAAAAAGGGAAACATCACAATAGCCAAGACATGGAAACAGGGTTTCCCTGGTGGCATAGTGGTTAAGAATCCGCCTGCCAATGCAGGGGACATAGGTTCGTGCCCTGGTCCGGGAAGATCCCACATGCCGCGGAGCAACTAAGCCCGTGCGTCACAACTACTGAGCTTGTGCTCTACAGCCCACGAGCCACAACTACTGAAGCCGGCATGCCTAGAGCCCGTGCTCCGCAACAAGAGAAGCCACTGCAATGAGAAGCCCACACACCACAACAAAGAGTAGCCCCCGCTCACTGCAACTAGAGAAAGCCCTCGCGCAGCAACAAAGACCCAACGTAGCCAAAAATAATAAATAAATAAAATTTAAAAATACATTGGGAAAAAAAAAAAGACATGGAAAGAACCTAAATGTCCATTGACAGATGTATGGATAAAGAAGATGTGGTACATAGTACTCAGCCATTAAAAAGAATGGAATAGTACTCAGCCATTAAAAACAATGAAATAATGCCCTTTGTAGCAACATGGATGGACCTAGAGATTATCATACTAAGCGAAGTAAGTCAGACAGAGAAAGACAAATATCATATGATATCACTTATATTTGGAAGCTAAAATACAATACAAATCAACATATCTACAAAACAAAAATAGACTCACAGATATAGAGAACAGACTTGTGGCTGCCAAGGAGGTGGGGAGGGAGGAATGAGAGTTTGGGATTAGCAGAGGCAAACTAGTGTGTATAGGATGGATAGACGACAAGGTCCTACTGTAGAGCACAGGGAACTATTATATATTCAATATTCTGTGACAGACCATGGTGGAAAAGAATACGAAAAAGAATTTATATATATGTGTATATCTGGGTCACTTTGCTATACAGAAGAAATTAACACAACATTGTAAATCAACTATACTTCAGTACAATTAAAAATTTTTTTAAAAAAGGGGAATCAGGCCAGACAGAGAAGTGTCAGTGTCAAAATGTGTACTGCGTCCAAATCTTGGTGCCTCCACCTCCTGGCCATGGAGTGGCTGTAGCTCTTCGCACAAGTTTCCAAGGAGGATGACCTGGAAGGCGGCATCACGTCAGGATCAGCAGAGGCCTGATCTGGGCAAGGTGGCTGCAGCGTGGGAGACTTGATGATGTGGGTGAGAAAAGAGGTGAGAATGGGAAAAGAGGTTGACAGATATGAGGCAAGGCTGGGAGTACCCGGCTAAGAGACTGGTCCCTGATGATGGGTTCCTGGTGACAACGGGGAGCTCTGGGGGGCAGTGTTTAGACAGGCAAGTACCCCATTCAGCTAAGTCCTGAGACAGGACCCCTCCCCCAATATACATACACTTCTTCATTGGACAGTACCTGGACCAGAAGGACAGGGGCAAAGCTGCGGTGGTCACTGTGGCTGCAACCACACCCTCTCAACACCCAGGCACCCTGTGTCAGGAAAGCGTGTGTGGGCACACTCCCCTCCCACCACCCCATCCCCCCAGAGGCCATCCCACCTCCTTTTCACTTGCGCAGGACTTTCTCTCCCTACTTGTTAATGAGGGGTTAGCTGTCACCCAAGGTGTTGCCTTTCACCCTTGTTAGCTGACAAGGGCCTCACGGCTCCTGGGGTTCGCTCACTCCTGATAGGGCTCTCAGGAAGTGCTCAAGGCCCTTGAGGCTTAAAGCTCTGATGGTGCAGCGGCGGCTTGGGACGGGGAGTATCGTTAAGGACAGGCCTGGAGGCCTGTATCTGAGCCCACAGAGTCCAGTCTTGGGGCCCATCTTTGCCTCCAGCCTCCGATTCTGCTTTTCCTCCCCCCTTCTGCCCTCCACCATGGGCCCTTCTCCACAGGAGACGGGCAGAACTGGAGGCAGGAGCTGTGTGTCCCGGCTGCTCCCAGCCTTTGCTGTGTGCCTTTGGGAAGCCCTGCCCCTCTCTGGGCTTTGGTGTTCCCGCCAATGCAGTGAGAGAATGGTACCAAATGAAGAGTAAGAACCAACTGTCTCTGATGTTCCCTGGCCCCGGTGAGGCTGGAGTTATCCCCTTCCCAGCCCCCTCACCTACACGCACCCTTCAAAGCTTGAACGGGGGTGAGGGCAGCGCCCGGCTGGGGGTACTCAGAGTGGGTGGAATCCTGGCTCTGGGCCAGGAAGGTTTGCTCTTGGCGCCATCTTGTGGCCATTCTAG